CTTACAAGCGGAGTGTCTCTGTGACAATAGAATATAATAGCGGTAATTATGGTTAGGCAAGTTCCAAACAATGAAAATGTTACTAATAGAATTCCCATAAATTCTTGAAAAGACAAAAACTCAATATTTTTTAGAAGGCAATCATTTCTTTGTTCATTTGATCTGTAATCTGAAGGGCACTTCACACAATCCACTGAATCTGAAATTAGAGGACAACAAAACAAAATCTGACTTTCATTTCTGCAGTTCAAAAATATTTTTTGTATATATATGATATATAATTTAATATTTGCTTTTTTAGATAATAATTTAGATTAAAAAAACTTCAGAAAGTATGGTTCTTTATTTTGAAGTAATTTAGATCACTCCTAATTTCTTGCTTGAGATTTCTTAAAAATCCACAAATAATGATTCATTAGCAGAATGTTATTTTGCCCTAGTTAATGAAACCTAAATTCATTTTAAGAATTTAATGACATTATTTAGAAGTCAACAGGTTGACTATTACTGGGCTGAAGTATTTTCCTTGTATTATCGCGAACAATCTGAAAAACCTGTGAGAAAGCTGTTTATTAATCACTTAAACCCAAAACATTTTCTCAAAGAGACTGAAGCTCTTTTGAAACATTGCAATACATCATTTGATAATTTGTTTTTCCTGTAAATTGAATTACTTTACCAACTACAAGCTGTGTTTCTTCTCAACCTTTTTTATTTTTTGCTGACAGTGGATTGTGTTGGGTTTATAAAATATGCAGTTTACTAATACTATAAATATTTAAATGAATGTAAGGGTTCCATGTCATGCTTAGCTAAAAGTCATTTTTTCCTATTTGAAATACTATGGATACATGTATTTAATACGTATGATCAAATGAGTTGCAGTGCTTTTCACACCTCACCTGTAGTGTTGCTGAACTCTCCCTCTGCACAGGGGATGCAGACAAAGCAGCAGACAGGCTTCCCTTTCTCAATGGCCTTACGAGTCCCTGGAAGGCAGCTCTCACTGCAGACTGACTTTGGTATCTGCAGTTTGGCAACCAGTGATGCAGAGTCAGAGAGTGCAAGACTTTTATTTAAAAGAAGCCATGTATTATTTAAACAAATACAATTGTGCACATTTCATGATTGCATGATAGACATTTAATATATGCATTTGTGGATGAGTACCTATTTTAGGGGTTCATTTTAATTGGTGCCTAATTAAGTCTGAATCCTCAGGTAGTACCTTACCTTATCCTGGTTGCCTGCCCACACCACGTTAACATCATTCATTAAAAATTGTTGTCCTTCTGGTAAAGAGGCATCATATACACCAATAATTTTGAATGTTGTGATTCCTTCACTGTTGAGCTGCCAGTTCACTATTGAATATCGTGCTACTGGATCTCCATTTTCATCAAAATAAATGTTTTTTCCATTTCTAGTTGTAAAATTAACTTGCTTCAGGTAATAGAGAACCTAGAAGAAAACAACCTGGTAAGATTCACGTTTGTGAATAAAAAATATAACTGCGTCTCAGTTTGTCAAATTTTAACAAATGTGAAAACACCTTAGAAATAAATATAGTATACAGTACATAACCATCGTCATACCTTTATTTATTTTTTTTTTACGCAGTAGCTTATAATGTTATGGAGAACTTCAGTTACTAAAGTTTCTTCAAGCATAGTACTGTATACATCCATCCATTTTCTAACTGCTTCTTATAATTCAGAGTCACAGGGAGCCACAGTCTATCCAAGCAAGCAACGGGTGTACACCTTGGACAGGATTGCACTCCATATTAGGGCACACACAAACACAGACACACACAAACTCACACAGGACCAGTGTTCCCAGAAGCCATTTAGCCTACCAGTATGTTTTTGGACTGTGGGAGGAAGCCCGAATACAAACTCAAGATAGCAACCCGGGTCCGGAATTAAACAAAGGACCCGGTACTGCAAGGCAGCAAAGCTAACCACTACACCACTGAGCAGTCCAGTGCGTTATTATTCAGGCATTAAATTAGGAACATTTGGAGGAAAACTCATGTCCTTACCTGCCAGGGTTCTATATTCGCTTTATTTGCACATGTTCTGTTGTCGAAAGGTCCTTGTCCAATTTGACACATCATCAGGTTGTGTAATGAATGGGCTATGGCATACACTGCTTTATACACATTGTTGGATATCCTTACTTCAGACACATCAGTGTATAGGTTGTTTATTTCATCCAAAGACTCCATTCCTGTGCATGGCTTCATACTCACATCACTCTGGGAATTCAGGGTACAGTTGAAAATACTTTCCCAGAATTCACTTAAGCCAGTGTTTCCAGGTGTGTCTGATGGACGAGCATTTAAAATAAATTCTTTCAGTCCTGGTACTTCTGCATTTGGAATTGCAAAGCCAATGGCCCCACCCAGGACTTTATAACCTGCACGCGACGCAAGATTGCTGTCTGTTATCCATGCCTCACTGCCCACCCACTGGAAACCTATGACATTCTGAAGGATTAGTTCTTTTACTAATATTTCAAAATCTATATAAGATGCAAAAACAATAATTAGTCTTGAAGTCGATTTTTTAATAATGTCTACAAGTTTAAGGAATTTCTCTCTAGGATCAGTTCTATAAATGGCCTCTGAGTATTCAATACAGATCCCCTCCTGCTGGGCAGCTTGAATGAAGGTAGCCATCCCATTGTTGCCATAATCATCATCAGTTCTGATAGCTCCAACCCAGGTCCATCCAAAGTGCTTCACAAGCTTTGCCAGGGCTCTACTTTGGTAATAATCACTGGGAATTGTTCTGAAGAAGCTGGGAAAGTCCTTTCTGTTACTGAGACAGGCACAGGAAGCAAAGTGACTTACCTGCAGGAAAGGAATATTTACATTATATACACACATATACATTATATATATTTAGGTTTGAGCAGGGATCTGTTTGTGTGTACACTGGAAAGGAACAAGTAATATATAATTCCATCTTTAAAAACAGAAAGAAAAAAAATATTTTTTGTTTAGTATGTCCAAAATAAGTTTTCTTACCACAGGCATGTTAAAGGGTCCAACAGTTGTTGCAAGTCCAATTGTTTGTGAAGATCCCGAAAGCCCTATTATTGCAGCAACAGTGGATTTTCTGTTGCAGGTCTTATCTGGATGAAATCCTTTCTCCTGTTCATTCATTAAAGCCAGTGCTGCCCTTACAACCAGATTCATGGAACCACAAGCGTTATATATCTTATAACCCAAAGAAATATTAGGTAGAATGTCTGACCTGTTATTTATTTCTTCAATTGCAAAGATCATAGTTTGAGCATATTGGAATTCTGCAGGATTTAAACTGTAGGGAAAGTGCAATGTATAATTTTACTAATTTATTATTATTGCCACTATTTTTCAGGATAGAATATACCGCAAATCTGAATAAACAAAGAGTTTAATATAATGTATTGTGTTTGGAAGCAAACATAAATGAATAACAAACATTGAAAAACTTACCCTTCACATGCCATTTCCTCTGGGTTGACTTTAAATGATGGATTCACAAATATACTTTTCTTATGAAATGAAAGAAGAGCTCCTATTGTGATACCCCCTTCTTTTGAAAAGTGAGGCAATTGCTGCTTTCCATACGGTTGACAAACAGGATTTTCTGCACTTGTGAAAACAGCAATTAAAACAATATCTGCAAGTAGCAACATTGTAGACCTTTCTTTCTTGAAATCCAAAGTTAAGAGTCATTATTTCAAGGCACTTATATACCGAGATGCAAATCTTATATGCTTAATTAACATTATGCAGTGTTCTGATACAACAGCATCAATACTCAGAGGTAGATTCTAGGAGTTTGTTTTTTTTCCTACTTAGAGACAATTAAAAATAGCAACCACATGGATCGGAATAAACAGACATAAGAGTGATTAAGTACTACTTCCACATTTTCATTGAACACCACATGAAACTAGTTTCCCTTGGTTGTATTGTGTTTGTCGACATCATAATGTTATAGTATAGAAAATGCAGCATTACTGTTATGAATAACTGATTCATTAATGGAAGCAAGAAAGTTATCAGGGCATTATCAAGAAAAAAAACATACATTCTGTTCTATTTTGATGAAAATATATCCCTGTAGAAATACTGGAAAACCAATTGACTTCAAAATGAACAATTAGGCATTTCTGCCTGTGTGGTTTACTATCTGGCCCAAACCAGGCTCTGCCCAAATGAATTCTTTCATTATTTTTTCAGTAATATATACATAGACGCTATGTAAAAATGTATTGCCATTGTATTTGTACTGTAGAAAGAATAGCAAAATGTGTGCATTTCTGGTTCTATGGCAATTGAATTTACAGGAACAGTGTTACATTTGTTTAACTATTTGTGCACACGGAGCTTTCATTTACAATTTTGTAATTAATGCAAAATTGCAAAACCTTTACTCCTAAATTCCAGAAAGTGACGTACTTAAGAGTCCCGCTTAAAAATACAGACTCTACCTCTTTAAAATAGTGGATTACCATGATATCTCAGGTTTCTGGCCTGTGCTCATTGTTCTCATTGTTCTGTTTTTACCACTTCATCTTTTTACTTTTCAGCAGGGGTCCATTCTCATGACTTCTCTTATTATTTTTCCACTTGGATAGAAAGAATAATCTGATTTTCCGCTCATAAGCACTAACAAAACCCTTTGTTGTTTCAGTCATGGCCCGTATCTAATTCCTACACACATACACACACAAGCTCTAACTTGGTACTGTGTATCATATTACAGTCTGAACATGCTAAAATCTTTTCTTAAGTTCATACCAATTGGAGGCCTGTCATTTTATATGCAGCTACATCAATTGATTCTAGTATTCCACTACTACTTGTATTTTATAATAATAATAATAATAATAATAATAATAATAATAATAATAATAATAATAATAATAATAATGCCACTAGAATGTGTACTGCTTAGAAAACGTAGAAGAACACACATGGTTCTTCGTGATTACTACAATGGAATAAAGATACAGATAAGATTAAGATCAGAAAGATAAGGAAAGTAGTGATAAATGATATCTATTCATGGTTAATCATCAATAAATAATATGAAATAGAGATCCAGGACCCATCTCTGATTGGGAGCAATAGACTGTAGAGTCTCGTGGGGAGCTGGGGGAAACAGCAGGCCTGCAGGGTGTCTGTAAAGAGCACAGGCAGCACACAGTTAATCTCCACTGAAAGACAGACTGAAGCACAGGGCTGCAGGCAGGGTGTGAAAGCAGAGGCAACAAACAGCACTCGGAACAGTTATACTGCTGTAGTGTAACTCTGATGTGGAGTCAGTGCCCGAGAGGAAAACAAAGCATGGAATAAAGATGATTGTGACATGGCACAATTTCAATTTTGCCTCATATTTTTTGCTTCAGATTTGTTTTGCTCAGACCTCAGAATTTATGCTTGCCTCTACCCAGAAATTAAAATGGTACATCTATTTTTATTTTTATACACCCTTAACCTACTGTATTTTACCTATTTTACATGCAAAAGTAAAGTTATATATGCTGTGGGGATTTCTGGTGCAGTTTTTGTAGTTCATTTTTATTATTGTTTCCTTCACCTATATACATTAATATTGAAAAAAAATAATTGTATTGATATAAAAATAAACTAGTGAATAGATTTGCTTGTGACTGCTTCTGTGTGCATTTATAAGCAAAGATTATTTGAGCAGTTAATCAAACAGAGTTCCACTGTGCCTTTGGGTACCTTATCCTATCCAAGACAATTCAGTCAAATGTGTGCTTTTCATTCTGATTGTATTCAGCTGTTTCTATGTTACTTGTGTTTCAGTTTATGAACCATTTCAAACTGTGTTGTGTAACCATATGTCTGGTATATGTATTAATAAAGCACCCCTACAGATGTTTAAAATGAGCATCTCAAGCTAGAAAAGAAAAACAATTTAGCCAACTGTTTTCCATACATTTCAAACATGTATTCCAGCCTTCTGCATGATCTTATGCCTTCCATTCTACAACGGGCACAGTAAAGACGTTTACTGTAAATCTTTCTACGACAGACCAACGGACCACGAGTGCCCCTGTCGGTCAACCAATCACGTACCGCGGTACCGCACGTCATCGTGCGTCACAATGCGCGACGCCGTAGCCAATTACCTCCGGTACGTGTCTGTACCGCGCACTTTGAATGGCTGCATCTGTATGTTTACAGACTCCATTTTATGATTATTATTGTGTCGTATACTTATTATCTGTGTATGGTTCTGTAAATAAGTGCTGTACATACAGTAGGGTCTCCTAAGCCAATAACATTCTTAGAATAAAATCTTCCCTCCAGACTTTACATTTTCTGTCTTTAAAATCACTCTTAAAATAACCTACAGGGATTTGTATGATAGGTCCTGCTGGGTAATAATGTAGTAATATGAATATATGAATATGAATGACCCAGATTCTAAATACTTAGTAAGCTCATCAAGTTCACAGACTATACCAAAAAATAATTATAAGTAATTATCGCAGAAGCTGCAAAGGAAATCTAAGACTGGACAAACATTTTACAGACGGAATTTATTATAGACTAGTGCAGACTTCTACATGCAGGCAGTGAAAACATACTGTATAAATATAAAATGAGAAATACTGAGCAATAATGTTCTCATAAAAAGACATGTAGTTAGGTGAATTTCCATCTTCTAGACACTGCAAGGAAGCGATAAAAAAGCGAAGCAAAAGTGAAAAGAGAAGAGTCATCAAATAAATTACCATGATTAACAGAATGTCTAACACAGGGGAAAAGAACTGAATTTTACATGATTGGATGGGGAGACTATGAGGAGACATAATTTAAGGACCTGAAGTCATTGAAAGGCCTTCAGAATCAACAACAGAACACAAACTAGTGTACACAAGAGGTATACAGTATATGCAAAGAGAAAATAAAAGGCCGTGTCAAGTATAAAACTGTTCTTCTGAACATTTTTCTGATAAATATCTATTTTAGAGACTTGTATGTCATTTAGAGCTCCTGTTTAAAACTAGGCACTGCAGATTTACTTAAACATGTTAACTAAATGTTATTTTACTTATGCTTACCAACATCTCGGCAAGTGTGACTGCTTACATTAGAGTATTTTAAATTCTAAGCAGGTCCAATTGTAAATGCAAACCATCAACATGAGACTTAAAGTACTGATTTTCTCGATCTTTTTTTAGTATATATGTATTCATATACATTCATATACATATACAGTATATGTATTCATGAATAAAGAGCAATTTAGGAAAGTTTAGCCATACAAGTATTTAGGTCTTATGTAGATCCATTTTGTATTTCTCTCAAAGTGCCTTCAAAGTCATTTTACCCATCATGTGTTTTTTTGTATTTAATTCAGGCTTTAGTAAAATTATATAACATTTGGGGGTAAATATAGAGAAGAGTAAACCAAAACTAGAAGCCAAGATAGCAAATATTTCCACAGCTACGGTGAACTTCCCAGGGGAACTGACATATGCTGGGATAAAGGTGATCCAGACTGCACAGAATATGAGCATGCTGAATGTAATGAATTTGGCTTCATTGAAATTATCAGGCAGCTTCCGAGCCAGGAAAGCGAGTACAAAGCACAAGGCAGAGAGGAATCCTATATATCCTAAAACAGCCCAGAATGCACCTGCAGATCCCAGGTCACACTCCAGAATGATTTTTTCTCTGTAGTGTTTCATGTTCTTGTTAGGAAAAGGAGGTGATATTGCCAACCAAAAAGCGCAAATCAAGACCTGCACAAGTGTGAAAGCAAGAACACTTAACCGCTGCTGAGTGGGGCCAAACCATTTCATAATGTTACTGCCTGGCAGTGTAGCCCTAAAGGCCATTAACACCACTATTGTTTTCCCCAGAACACAAGAGATGCACAGGACAAATGTGATCCCAAATGCTGTGTGGCGCAACATACAAGACCAGTCAGAGGGCTGGCCAATGAAAGTAAGTGAACAGAGGAAACACAGTGTCAATGAAAAGAGCAGAAGGAAACTAAGTTCAGAGTTATTGGCTTTTACAATGGGAGTATCTTTGAACTTGATGAAGACCAGTGCCATGGCTATGGTTAAACAGCTTCCAAGCAATGAAAGAATTGCTAACAGAATTCCCATGATTTCGTCAAAAGACAGAAATTCAAGTGATTTTAATATACATTCATCTTTGTTTTCATTAGACCAATGTTCCAAAGGACACTGAACACAATCAGCAGAATCTGTAAGAAAATTAGAAATATTAAATACGATTAGGATGTCATGGCAGAGGAAAGTGGTATCCTTATCTTTTACAGTGCTGAGCCATTGAAGTACTACTTATTTAGAGTTACATGTAGGGAATGTGTTGCCTATAATTTTTTTTATTTCCTTTTAAAACAGTTCTTAATCAAGTTCACAGACTACAACATTCTCTTTGGGTTGGATTGTAGCTCCTGTTATCAATACCGCAAGGAACTAGTAGAGTAACATTAAGTAAGTAAATGGGCATTTGTGTGCTGACTTTGATTACCCTTCCACTTACCTGTAGTGTTGCTGATCTCTCCATCAGCACAGCGTATGCAGTCATAGCAACACACAGGCCTTCCTCTCTGAACTGCCTTTCGAGTGCCTGGGAGACAGCTCTCACTGCACACTGACTCAGGCTTCTGCAGGGTAAAGAGAACAGGTTTCATCCGCAACATTAAGAATTTGCATGACGTTATGCTGTTGTTAAATAAAATAAGTTAAGTTTTTTCCATTCAAAAACAGCAAATACACACTAACTATACAAAAAACAGAAACATAGCAAACAATATAAAATTTCGAAATGTTCTTTTTTTGTTAAAAAAAGACATATTTAATTGCTCATGTTTATAATTCTGAAAAAGACTTAGGTGCAAATGTAAACAACTAAAACAACCAACAAATAAATTTAACAGTAATTTCAAAATATTTGTAAACGTTTGAATAAGACATTTTATTAAGTTACTTGTAAACTTTAAAAATCTGATTTTTTACTTATCTCTCACCTTAAGTTGACCCCCTGCCCAAACAATATTGACCTGGTTCATGACGAACTGATGTCCTGCTGGCAGTGAAGCATCATAGTAACCGACAGTCATGAACTGTACGGAGCTCCCATTAACAACCTGCCAGTTCACTAATTCATATCTCGCAGGGGGGTCTCCATTGTCATCGAATGAGACCTGCTCTCCAGTTTTAGTAGTGAAATGGACTTTCTGAAGATGCTCAAGTAGCTGTGGAAAAGAACAGTTTCATATAATAAAAATAAACTTTTTAAATAATTTATACAGGATTAACGGATAGTGAGATACAGCTATTGCTTTACCTGCCATGGTTCAATATTCAATTTTCTGGCACAGCTATAATTGGCAGCAGGACCAATTTCACATTCCAGCAGGTTGTGCAGAGAATATGCAATAGCATATACGGCTTTATATACATTGTTAGATATTCTCAGTTCCGATACATCCATGAATGCATTATGTAATTCATTTAAGTTCTCAGAACCTGTGCAAGGCTTTCTAAGTGTTGTATTATCTTTGATATCTAAAGAACAGTTGAATGCCGTTTCCCAGAACTCATTTAAGAGGGCATTGCCAGGAACCTGAGATGGGTGGACATTCT